TTTGGGAAGACCCTGTTGGTTTGGGAAGACCTGGGGTGGGCTGGTTTGAGAAGCCCCGGTCGGCTTGGGAAGACCCCTGGGGGTTGGTTTGGGAAGATCCGGTTGGTTGGGGACGACCCGGACAGTTGGTCTTGGAAGACGCGTTGGGTTTGGGAAGACCCGGCCGGTCGGTTTTGGGAAGGCCCGCCTGGTTTGGGAAGACCGGGGCTTGGTTTGGGAAGACCCGGCGGTCTGGTTCCGCAGCATCTGGGTTGGGAAGGCCCATCTGGTTTGGGAAAACCCTGCCTCGGCGGGCGGGACTTCCAAAGCCCCCCCCCCATCATTCGGTTGGCATTTCCAGCTGGAGGGCCCTGGCTGAGGGGGGGGGGCTTCGAAGCTATTTTTCTCTCTCGGCGCCCCGTTGGCGCACTTGCGGTTGTCGGCGTCTCTTTGGTTGTCGGCGCCTTTTTGGTTTTTTGCGCCCTGTGGACCTTTGGCGCCCCTTTGGCTTTCGGCGCCCCCGTGCTTTTCTGCGCTCCTTTGGTTTTCGACGCCCACTTTGGTTCTCTGCGCCCCCTCTGATTTTCGGCGCAGCGGTGGTTTTCGGCGCCCGCTTGGGCCCTGGCGCCCCTTCGGTTTTCGGTGCCCTCTTGGTTTTCGGCGCCCTTTTGATTCTCGGCGCCTGGTTAGTTTTCGGCGCTTTTTTGGTTTTCGGCGATCTTTGGTTTTCGGCGCCGCTTTGGTTTTCGGCGCCCGCCAGATTTCGGCGCGCTCGGGGTTTTTGGCGCTCCTTGCTTTTCGACGCCCTTTTGGTTATCGGCGCGTCTTTGCTTTTTCGGCGCCTTTTTTGGTTTTTGGCGCATCGTTGGTTTTCGGCGCCCCCTTCTGGTTTTCGGCGCTTCTTTGGTTTTCGGCGCCCATTTGGTTTCCGGCGATCCTGCGGTTTGGGGCGCCTCTCCGGTTTTCGGCATCCGTCTTGTTTTCGGCGCCATGTCCGTCTTCGGAGGTTCCGTTGTTTTCGGCGCCCGTTTCGTTCTCGGCGCTCTTTGGTTGCCGGCGGTCCTTTCTGGTACTTCGGCACCCTTCTGGTTTGCGGCGCATCGTTGGTATCCGGCGCCTCTTTCTGGTTTTCGGCGCTCCTTTTGGTTGCCGGCGCGCCTTGGGCGCTCGGCGCCCCTTTGGTTTTCGGCGCCCTTTTGGTTTTCGGCGCCCTTTTGGTTTTCGGCGCCCCTTCGGTTTCCGGCGCCTTTCTGGTTTCCAGCGACAGTTGGCCGAACCAGCTCCAGCGCGCGGCTGCCAGCAGCACGGACCCCGCCGCGCCCGCAACGGATCGATCCAAAATGATCGTGCTTCCACCTGGTATAGCGTCTCCTCCTGAGCGCGCTGTGCAGCATGACTGCACGTGCGTCTTGACAGCCACCGCCACATGCCAATAAGCTTAAGCACATCTAAGCCCAATGTGCTGTCTATAGAGCACTTGACACTTGGCGACTGAGCCACGACGAGCGCCGCGAGGGCGACCTGACCTCGCGCTCACCGCAGACCGTGTTCGACACGATCGCCATCCAGAAGCCGCCCCCTGCAATCAGTGGCTGGCCAGCCTCCTCGTCAATTGCGAGGGCTTTCTTGCCCCGCAGTGGATTGGCGCCACGTGGATTACAACATGAACGCCTTCGTCGCGAAGCTCTGGCGGGCACAACCCGCCGGGCATTCGACACGCGCTGCGTGCATGTGCCCGGCCGCGGTACGTCAGCACCTCCTGCACTACGAGGCGCTGGTACCGCCCGCGCCCCCTTGCAAACCAGTCGGCACGAATCGCCGTGGCCTGGCGCCTTGGCCACGATGTGTTGCCAATAGAGGGTGCGCGGCGCCGGTGCGCGATACTGGCCGCCGACGCTCATGTTCTTCGAAGACTAGCAGTACTGGGACAACTTCGAGTAGCCGAGGTAGGCACCTGCGCCATTGCGCTGCTGTTGGCTGCATCCACTCAGCTCGTGCCACACCACTGTCGCTCGGCACTCACCATGCCACCACGACGACCAGCCAACAGCCGCGACTGGCAAGCACCAGCAAGTAGAGACACACTGCCGCAAACAGCTGGGCGAATTGCGTCTGCGCGCCTACGAAGCAAGGCGCGCGGGTGCTCTGCAGCCGCGAAGCAGCACAAACGCCGCAACGGCCACCTACGACCGCCAGCACCCACTCACCAAAGAGTGCCCACGACGAGCGGCTACGCCGGCAGCGTGCAGGATGCATAGCCAGGGAGCGAACCTGGCAGGAAGGTAAGACTAGTGCTGCGGCGTGACCACACGCTGGGCACGGGCTATGCCGGGCAGCCTTGAGCAGCGCCCTGCTCCTGGTTGCTACACGCGACTGGCCAGTGAGCAGGAGCTAGAGCGAGGAGCTCGTCGCTGAGCTCTCATTGCCGCGGGGTGCTGTTACGATAGAACGACCCTGGCCACAGGCAGCGCATCGCACGCGCGCCCTGGCCATGGACGCCGTCGCTCTCCAGGGTTCACCTCACCACCGATCGGCTGAGGCTACTGAGTCATGGGCGAGATGCGCGAGGCAGCCCGACGCGATCGCGACGCGGCGCAGCGACTGTCTCAACGCATTTCTTCGCGTGCGTCTCAGTGACCACAGCGTTTTGGGGGGGCAGTTCCGTTGCTCGATAGCCCTGGCTCGAACAGGACCCACGCGCGCGCCCGCCTCCAGATCAAGCCTGCACGCGACATCAGCCGATAGAAGGCAGAAGGACCGCCGTTATGCTTTCACCTTTTGCCGCCATGTCTTCTACCCTCCACCCTAACATCCGCAATTCCAGCTTGTCCTCCTCATCTTTCTCCGTCCCTTTTCCTTATGTTATGATTAACGCCTCCATCACGTCCTCCCAGACGTGTCGGCAGGGCGGGCTGAGCGTTTCTCATGAGGTGTCCTCACCACGTATGATTCCGAAGCTTGAGATTCGCAATAGCTTCGTGGATAGAGGGCGGCTCGTTCTCAGAGTGTGATTATCGCCTTAGCGCCGCGAACATTGGTTTCAATAAATGCAGCAACGTGAAGGGCGGAAAGCGGGCCATGTTCAAAATGTAACTCTCGATTTAGCACCGTGCACATGTGTTTTAAAAGCTTGCAACACCTTCAAAGATGGAGGGCGGAACGTTTTCAAAATGTGATTATCGATTGGGCGCCGCGCACACTCGTTTGAAAAATTTGCAGCAAGTTCAAGGATAGAAGGCGGGCCGTTTTCACAATGTGGCTCTCGATTTAGGACCGCACACTCGTGTTAAAAATGTCCATCAGCTTCGAAGATCGACGGCGGCTGTTGTTCAAAATGCGATGATCGTTTCAGCGCAGCGCGCACTCGTCTCGAAAATTTGCAAGCGTTTTACAGGATTCACATGTTCGCAAGCATGGTGCTCTGGCACCGTTTACTATTGTCAGGACGCAATAATCACATTGATTCGTGGTGGTGAAGTCCCCAAGAATGCGTTATGGCAAGATGGAGGATTTTCAGACGGTTGCTTTGAAGTGGGTATTTCCCAAAATGGTTAGGATTATATGTACATGTTGTAGGGCCTTATGATGAGGAGATTTGGAGGAAGGGTTTATTGCATCATCGCTGCTGCCCTCCGAGTCGAATCTCCCGCCGACCTCCCCTCTACCTCTGTCCTTGCTTCCGTTTTTGTCCCTCGTCCCGCACCCGTGGAGGAGGACGAGGAAGAGGAGGAGGAGGAGGAGGAAAACGAGGTGGACTCTCTCCGTCGTGTGGTGGTCCGGTTCCGTCTGGAGACCATTGCCACGGGAGAGGATGCGAGGATTGAGGAGGTCGGGTCGGGGACCAACTCTGATTGACAGGCTCTAAATGGTTTGCATTTTCAGTCTGAGCTCACGTGGTGCTTTGCTGGCACTGCCCGGGTCAGCGGAGAGAGCCAGCGCTAGCAGCCATCTTGCGACCTCTACGCTTGGTGGTTGCGTTACGCGCCTTGGTTTCCGGGATGCTGACTCCTCCAGATTTCGGTTGTCTTCAGGTTCTGACGGCGAGAGATCCACCTCCGCGCGCCGCGAAAAAAATCACGACGGGAGGTGTTTGGAAATCTTCGGCGTCCAGGGGCCTCCGGGCCCCTCCACCGTCAAAAAAGACCTGGTATGGAAAAGCGGCCCCAGGGAAGGGGGTCCAAGCTTCTGGGGTCCGCGCTGTGAAAGATCACGACGTCGGAATTTTTGGGTCGTCCCATGGTGCAGTCGGTTCCGTCGCGACGCCGCTTGCGCTCGTGATCTGAGCGGGTCGTCGATGGACGCCGTAGGGTCGGACCTATTTTGGTACTTCCTGGTGGAACGGGGCGCGGCCTGTTCTGGCGACACATACACGGCGACAGGAGCGGGGGAAGCACACATCCGGCTGCTCCAATTTTTTCGATGCGCGGGCCCTGGAGGTCTGGACCACTTCCCTGGGACCAGTTTTTTTCGTCTTGAATCGTGTTTTGACGTTCCCAAGGCCTGGCGAGGGCCCCCAGAGGCCGAAAACGACCAAAATCCTGCCGCTCCAATTTTTCCCAGCTTCCCGTTTGAAGAGACAGCGCCCCGCGTCACTCCTCCCGCTGCCCCCTCCCTCCTCTCATCATCACACTCGTCATCACTCGCTTCAGCACACCCCTCACACGTTTCGTGGCCCCATAGGGAGTTCCACCGAAGGCCACAGTGGCAGGGTTCGCAGGACGCCACCGCACCCATTTCGGCGCACCCCTCACACGCTTCGTGGCTCCATAGGGAGCTCCACCGAAGGCCACAGTGGCAGAGTTCGTATGACGGCACCGCACCCATTTCGGCACACCCCTCACGCGTTTCGTGGTCCCACAGGGGGCTCCACCGAAGGCGGGGCTCAGAACTGCGGCATTCACAATTGCACATGGGTGGGTCCTTCGCCAGGATAATTCTGGAGCGTCGGATCTCAGGGTATGGGATCCTAGAAAGCAGAAGCAGTCAAGAGAGTGCAATGGCAGGCAAGACAAAACCCGCAGGGCCCTGTGCTTCCTCCACCAGCGCACCCCGCCGGTCATCCACAGAGACCTGAAGCCCATGAACCTGCTGCTCGACAAGAACCACGTCCTGAAAGTCGCCCACGGGCGGGATGAGGAGAAGGAGGAGGAGGGAGATCCAAGGGGAGCCGCGGGGACATGGGATGGCGAGGAGGAGGAGGAGGAGGAGGAGGAGGAGGAGGAGGAGGAGGAGGAGATGGAGGAGGAGGGCGGAGGAGGAGGAGGAGGAGGAGGAGGAGGAGGAGGAGCACGAGAGAGAGGAGGGGAAGGAGGAGCAGGAGCAGGAGCAGGAGCAGGAGCAGGAGCAGGAGGGAGGAGGAGGAGGAGGAGGAGGAGAGGAGGAGAGGAGCGAAGGAGGAGAGGAGGAGGAGGAGGAGGAGGAGAGGAGGAGGAGGAGCTGGAAGCAACGGAGGAGGAGGAGGAGGAGAGGAGGAAAGAGGCAGAGGGATCCAGGGGGAGCCGCCCGCTGGGAGATGGGATGGCCGGCGAGAAGGAGGGGAGGAGGAGGAGGAGGAGAAGGAGGAGGAGGAGGAGAAGAGGAGAAGAGGAGGAGAGGAGGAGGAGGAGGAGGAGGAGAGAAGGAGGAGGAGGAGTTGGAGGAGGAGGAGGAGAGAGAAGTGAAGGGAAGGAGGAGGAGGGAGAGGAGAAGGAGGAGGAGGAGGGGTTGGAGTTGGAGTTGGAGCTGGAGTTGGAGTTGGAGTTGGAGTTGGAGGAGGAAGAGGAGGAGGAGGAGGAGGAGGAGGAGGAAAGGGAGGAGGAGACAGAGGAGGAGGAGGAGGAGTTGGAGGAGTTGGAGGAGTTGGAGGAGGAGGAGGAGAGTGAGTTGGAGAAGGAGAGGGAGTTGGAGAATGAGGAGGAGGAGGAGGAGGAGGAAGAGGAGGAGGAGAAGGAGTTGGAGAAGGAGGAGGAGGAGGAAGAGAAGGAGGAGGAGGCCGAGGACCAGGAGAGGGGTGGGGGGTCTTGTGCGTACATATTTCAGAGCGCCGTGTACGCACGGGCACTGGCAACGTGCTTCCCTTGTCAGGAAAGGGGATCTCCAACCATTCCTCGCTCTCCGCTGCTTTCTCGGCTCCCTTGGCACCGAGCGGAGGCCCCGCTGCCCCATCGCTCGGGGGCCCGCGCCAGCCGCGGCGCGTCTCGTGGGCCGACGGCGGCGAGGATGCGCCCTGGAAGGTGGCGCGCAGGCCGCCAGCGCGCGGGCTGCCCTTGGGGGGGGGGCCCGCCGCGCGCCGCTGGCGCAGGACCTGGCCAGGACGGGTCCGTCTTTCCAGGACCGCGCAAGCCGCACTGGGGCTGTGGGCGCTGCGCGCTCGGCTGTCGCGCCGCAGCTGTGGCGCAGCGGCCCCACTGTCCTGGCGCCCGAAGGCTCTGGCAGCTGCGGGGGGCGCGGCCGAGCCGCCTCGCACGCGCGGCGCACGGCCGTGGCCGGGCGGGCCCAAGCCAGGCGCTGGCGGTGGGGGCAAGCCCCAGCCAGCGGAGACTGCCGCTGAGCCGCCAGGGGATGCCGCTGGAGGCGCCCAGGCAGCCGGAGGCAGACCGTCGGCGGCGGACCTCGCGGCGCAGTTGGCGGCGTTCGGCGCGGAGCTCTCAGCGGCCGTCAAGGTCAAGCTGGAGACAAAGCCCGAGCCGCCGAAGGAGGAGAAGCCGAAGACCTACGCGCAGGTGCTGCAGGGCTGCCTGTGGAAGGCGGAGCGCCTCGGCAAGCAGGTTCGCGCGCGCGCGGCTGAGCAGCAGGCGGCCGAGGAGCGGGCCCAAGAGGCCCGAGGGGCGCTGGAGACGGCCGAGCTGGCCTCAGCGGACGCCGTCAAGAAGCTGGGCGACCCTAAGGCCGAGCTCGAGCAGGCCAAGAGGGTCCAGGCGGTGGGGTTCCCGCCAGGGTCCAAGTCGGCCCACGCAGGCAGCCTCGCCAACTCTCAGGAAGGCGCGGCGGCACTCGCCGCCCTCGGTGCCGAGCAGAAGGGGCCGATCGGGGAGGCCATCAAGCACGCCGAGTTCGCCATGGAGGCCAAGGTCGACGCGCTGCGCAAAAAGGTCGAGGCTGAGAGCATCGTCATTCCCGACGTGGAAGAGGAGATGGACGACGTCGAGGCGCCTGCAGGGGGGGGCGCGTGCTGGCGGCGCTGCTCCTGCCGCTCCAGGCGGCGACGACGGCGGCGGGGTCGACCCCGAGGGCGCGGCCTTCATCGAGCAGCTATCCAAGCTGGACGGGGAAGGACGCCGCAGGTTCGAGGGGGCGCGCCAGTCCGCAGGAGCGCCCTTCCCGTCCTTCGAGAAGTTCAAAGGAGGAGGAGGAGGAGGAGGAGGAGGAGGAGGAGGAGGAGGAGGAGGAGAGGCTGTCGAAAGAGACGAAGCAGCGCCTCCATCGAGCACGCCGCGATAGCGGGACCTGGAGGCTGGATGCGGCGAACACGACCTCCAGGACGAGCATGATGAAGTGGCTGCAGCAGGACGCGACCAGCGACGCGGTCTTCCTGCAAGAGGTCGGGGCGGCGCCGGGCGCCAAGGCGGAGGCCGAGCAGGCTTGCCGCCGAGAAGGCGGGAAGGCGGCGTTCAACGCGTCGGTGCGGACCGACGAGGGCGGCCTCTCCAGCGGCGTTGGGATCGGCGCGCGATCCCACATCGGGATGGGGGGCCCGCCGCGGGGGCCAGCTCTCCCACGCGACTGCGTCATCGCCCGCTGGGTGAACTGCGCGGTCGCAGGAGGGCCCCTGGCGGCGTCGAACTACCTGGGGACGGGCAAGGGCTTGTCTGAGACTTGGCCAGCTCGGGCGCTTCCTGGCCCGCGCGGCGGGGCCGCGCGCGGCGGGCGGCGATTGGAATTGCAGGCCGAGCGGGCTCCAGGAGCGGGGCGGCCCGACTGGTTCGTCGCCTCGAGCGGGCTGGGGCAGTTGGTCCGCGGGCGCAGGCGGCCGGGCGAGACGCTCGCGCCCCGCGGGGCCAAGGCCAGAGCCCCCGAATTGGGGACCCTTGCTCGGAAGGCTGCGAGGCGCGCTGGCGCCGCTCATCCACCCCCGGGCGGCCCGCGAGCCCTCCGCGGAGGCTGCGCGGGCGGCTGCAGGGCCGCCCCCCGGGGGCCGACGCGCAGGGGGCCGCCCCCGGGCCCGCGAGCCCGCCGCCAGAGGCCCATCCAGCCCTCGGGGCCGAGGTCTGCGCGAGGGCGATCGGCGACTCGGCGCTGCGCGGCCGCCGCCTCGCCGCCTGCATCTCGGCGGCGGGTCGGAGCAGGGGGCAGCCCGCGGGCCTCGCGCGGCCGACGCCCCCTGGGGGCGGAGCATTCGGTGACGGCGACCTCCCCCCGCGTGGCCCGGGAAGCCCATTCCTTGGGGGCGGGGCCTTCCACGTCGACGTCGACGCCCCGCACGGCCGAGGATGCGCATCACCTGAGGGCGGGTGCCCACGCCCACGGGCCCCACGCGTGCTCGACACCCCGCATGGCCAAGGATGCGCTTTCCCCAGGGGGCGGGGCCTGCGACGGCGACGGCCCCCCGCATGGCCCAGGACGCCCATTCCCAGGGGGCCGGGCCTCCTCCGCCGCATCCGACGGCCCCCCGCGCGGCCCAGAACGCACCTTCCCTGGGGGCGGGGACGTCGGCATCAAGGGCGGCGCATGTTGCCTCCTTCCTCGACGCGGTGGATGGGCGCACGCCTTTCGGCATCCTGGACTTGGCGGCCACTGCGGTGCCCGCGGGCCCTCCGAGCGCCACGGGCCTGAGGGCTGCCGCTGACGCGAGGCTGCGAGAGCGCGCCGTCGCCGACGGGGCGACGCGGGCGGGCCCGCCGCAGCCTGGAGGGGCGGCGCGTCGGTCAGGGCGGGGAGGGGGGCAGCTCTCGCCCCACTGCCCCGCCCCCGAGCCAGGGGCCACCACGCGACCGCTCCACGCACGACGGGGTGAAGGGCAGCCTGCCCCAGGAGGAAGCGAACGCTTTGCACGGGGAGTCCGCTACGTCGATGGAGGCGGATCTCGCGGGGCGCCACCGCATCGGAGGCCGCGAGGAGGACGAGCACGAGGGCCGCGAGGCCAAGCCGCGCCACGCGATGCTGGAGGCGCCCCTGCCCCGCAGCGGGCCGCGCGCTCGAGGGCGCCCAGAGTCGACCCACCGGCGCAGGGTCCGCGCAGCACTCTGGGAGGAGCTCGCAGAGCGGAGGCGCTTGCACCGCCCGGGGGCGAGAGCGGCGGCCAGCCGACAGCCCGGGGCCCGCGCCAAGACGGGCTACGAGCTGGCCTCGTCGGCGCACGCGCGAGGCGACGCGCTGGACCCAGAAGAGGCGGCCAGGTGAAGAGGGCAGCTCCGAGGCACGCGGGAACTCTCCCATGCTGAGGTCGAGGCCCTTGAAGGAGGCCAGGGATATCGCAGCAAGGCTAGAGGCCGGCTGAGCGATGGGGCCAAGACCAGCGCTGGCGCCCCTGGGCACAGGAGGCCGCGCGCGACGGAGGAGGGGCCGCCCGCGCTTTCTGCAGAGCCCCCGGCCCCCCTAGGCTGGACAGCCGACGTGGATGGCGACGACGGGCCAGCTGGCATTGCAGCCCCTCCCGAGAGCCTGGTAGCCGGATACCAAGAGATCCGGCAGCCCGGCGAGATCCTGCCGATGGATTTGGACACCGCCCTCCCCGACGAGCTCGGCCAGGCGCCGCCGGCGGAGGAGATCATCACGGCGTCGAGGGCCTTCAAGGCGTCGACGGCCTTGGGCGTCGATGCGGCGAAACCACGCGCCTTCGGGCACCTCAGCGGCAGGGGCCTGGAGGCGCTGGGGCTGCTCCTGCGGGTGGTGGAGGCGACCTGCAGGCTGCCAGAGCAGGTGGGCATGCTATTCGGTTTCCTCCCGGCGGAGGCCGACGGAGGCAGGAGTCCCATTGGGCCCCTCAGCAGCTTCATCCGCCTGCTGGGGGGGATTCGCAGGATCGACGCGGTCGAGTGGGGGGCCGCCCACAAGCGCGATTGTTTCTTCGGCGAGGCTGGGCGCTCCTGCGAGGGCGCTGTCTGGCCCCAGTCCCACGACGCGAACGCGGCGGCCGCGATGGGGCAGCACTCGATGGCGACGATGGCCCACCCGTCGATGGCGCACGAGCGGATCAC